ATAATTCTCAAGAACTGGTGGTTGAGTAAGAGAGAGGGTGTTAATTGATTTTTTTATTTATCTGTTTGTTTATGTGTTTATGGCGCTCTGATGTGTATGTGTGTGTGTGTATATATATATATATATATATATATATATATATATATATATATATATGATTTTTTTCTCCTTCTTCTTATTTTCTATTCTATTATCTTTATTTATTGATTATTTTTATTTATTTTACCCTAAAGAGTGAGTGTATGTATGTGTATGAATGCATCTGTGTTCTGTCTGTCTGGTCAAGAAGGCTTGTAAAGGTGAGGGTGGGGGTTGCTGGGCGTTGTTTTGGGGTGTTTACATCGGATGTGCCACTATATGTGTCATCTTTATACTTTGTACTCTGTATGTTATTGTTTTAAAAAAAATGCTCAATAAATATAGTTGGGGAAAAAAAATCCATCATAAAAGAGAGTTTTACACTTATTTTAATGTGAAAATAAAAAATACACCAACACCTGCCACACGCAATGCGAGAAAATATTCTGCTCCATAACAAAGGGTTGATTGTCCTAAAGTTGGTTACTTACTCACAGAGTATCAACCATATCTGACCATTTCAAGGTTAGAAAAGTTAAATATTTAGATAGTAAATCTGTTACTGCTCCCACAGGCAGAACAGAAAGAATCTCAAACACAATCCGATATCCAGGAAAGCTTCCTTCTACTTGTATAAGTATGAGCAAGCAAGTTTTTGAGATGTCTCAGCTTCAGGTACATTCTAGTATGGGACACATTTGAAAAAAGTGCCAAATATAGATTTGAAAATGCAAAGTATGAAAATTATTGTATTAACTGAAGGAGGAGCTGAACTCAAGGGAGGTTGCAGAACGGAGCGTGAACAGATTGTGCAGAGAGCAAACATAAAACTTTTACCATGTTTTCCAACCAAGTAAAAATGTTTCCAATAGAAGACTAGGGATGTTACCAATAATTGTGGTACACATGCTCCTTGTATAAATTCACTCAAATCAAAGGCTGGAGTCTCATCGTTGCAAGTTTTTTTTTCTAATGCATTAAAGGCAGCATATATTGTCAGATTTTAACCCATTTTTCTCAATGACTGCAGACAGTGTTACAAAGCACAATAAGCAGCAGCCTTTCATCTTCTGTCTAGAGCACCAAACGAGTTTGCCGAAGCCTCTGTCTCGCTCAGGATGTTCCCAAAAATAGATGTGCTGTCTTTTCACTCCATTGTTGCAGGCCTCACCAAACCGGTTCAATGTGAATCTATTCTCGGAAAGACGCCGCTCTGTATTCTTCTGTGAAGTCACAAAAAAAAAAATGTCTTCCTGTATAAACACAAATACTGTAGGCATCGTGCTATCAGTTTCAAGTGTTTTATATGCGCTAAATAGAAAGTCAAGATAATAAAATAGAGGTGAATGAAAGAAAACAGAGAATCACTCTCCTACTAATCACTGCATCTGTATTATTTATAGATTTGCTATCCTATCTTCTGATCTGATCTCAGCTCTACGGTATCTGCTGTTTATTTATTTTTTTTGTCTGTTGTTTTGTGTTTCTCAAGATTTATTTTGTGGTAACTATAGTCATTTTTATCTCATTTGAGCACCTGTAGCTTTTCTCACTGCATTCAAACTTTTCTTTTCAGAGCAGACATTGCTGTAGACACATTGGGGAGAAGCAATACTGAGCTTTAACAGTTCTGTCTAAAACACACAGTCATAGCAGGAACCAGTGTTTGCAGAAAGGTTCCTTATTCCAGGGTATGAACATGAAACTTTGGCTGTACACCCTCTATGTTGTGAAAAAAGGTTATAACAGAAAGCAGATCATGTGGATTTAAAGGAATAGCCATTGTTTTCATACATAGAGTAGAACATGAACCTTTTATAACATGTTTTATTATAATTAAAGTATTATTAAAGTACACATTGAAGGTCGAATTGACTTGGATAACAGCAGATCCAATATTTGTGTTTTCACTGTGTAATAACAAATTCTGATGGAGGAAAAATATTAGACATATTTGTGTAGCATTATATTAGAATGAGGTATTCAGCTCCATTAGTCCTGATCATGAAGGTGATGTCTGACCCCTGGTGGAAGGAGCAAAGAACTGCAGGTTCAAAGCCAATCAACCCATCAGATTCTGCTGAAGTATAACCCACCTGAGAACATGTAACATAAACCTTTTTGTGTTTCTTAGTTATTTTAATTTGTCATTTTATCTGTAAACAACATCTATGATTTTATTGATCAACGAACTAAATTTATCTTTGTGTTAAACTAGAATCCCAGATGACAGGCAAAACAAATCTATTTATCAGTTAAAGGATATTTAAATGCCACTGTGAAAAAAAAAAAAGAAACTCCATCTTGATAGAACCCAATACCTTATAGAGTTTAGAAAACTCCATCAACATATTTAGAAAATTGTTAATGAATGTGGAAATAAACAACAAATTCCAAGCTGAAACCAGTGTTGCAATTTTTGAAATTTCCCAAACTGGGCTCCGTGTTCTTTGCAATGTTTTTATGAGTTATGTAAATTATTTTCACCTTTATATTAAGGTTTAATTGGATTTAAAGCCAAAAATGCAATTATGTTCTTTGCAGTGATTTAGACGTTTATTTCTAATTTTTAGTTTTCCCCAACTCCTGTGGTTCATAAACGTTTCTTACTTTCTCTGAAAAAAACAACAACATATATTTGTGTAATATCAGGGAATTCCTCTGTCAATCTCTCTTCTAAATAAAAGCTGCTTTTCGGAGCAAAATTAGGACAAAACATGTCTGTGACTAAAAATCAACCTGAAAATGTAACTGTTCAGTCATTGTAGGTAGTCAATATAATAAAGTAGATGACTCTATATCTCAATGAGAGAACTCATTGGTTCTAGTTCTTTTCAAAGTGCACTTTTAGGGAAAATTAATGTTGTCCTATTTAAACATCAAATCCTAAATTTGCTTGGAAAGGATTATATGGGTACGGTCTCTATAGTAACCTTAAAAAACATCTACTAAAAGTTTTAATGTCTTAAATCATTAAGACAGATAAAAGATAAATTTAACATTAGCAGTGACTTGACTGCTATAATTATTTATTTTTAACTATTGAAGCAGAAACCTAGCCGGGCAAATTCCTTAAACAATACTGCAATAAGTGATTCACATGATTATTGGTAAAAACAATTAAACTGTAAACAACCACTGAAGTACAAATAAAATGAAAGAATATGGTAGATTATAATACGTTTTAAAGAAGTGAGAGCAGTGAAGACATTTACGGTAGTTTTTGGTATAACCGCGTTGTGTGCATTACCTAGAATGCATGGATATATCAGATTAATTTACCTCATGTTATTGCATTAGAACATTGCAAAGCACATGATGGCCTGATAGTGGTGGTGTAAGTTACCATGACAAAAATAAAAATAAAAGTGAAGATCCCTGTATAGTCCTAGAATGGGGAAATTAGTCCTCTGTGTTTAGGGAGCATCATGTAGCACAGCTGGTAGCATTCTGGGATTAAATATCTTGCTTAGAGATCTAGATGCCTCTGCAGGACATAAATGTCCTCCAATCTAACCACTAGACCAGGGGTCACTAACCTTTTTAAGGCTGAGGGCTACTTCATGGCTACCGAGTCATGGGAAGGGCTACCAATACTGACCTATGAACTGGAGGGATCAGTGTTCACCTACAGTAAATCTCATCCATAAAAACTCATTTTTATTCTTATTTTATTATTTTATTCATTTCTAATTTTCTTTTTAATATTGTAATTTTGAAACCACTGAAATATGATGAAATAGTTAAAATGATGAAATAATACATAAATGATTAAAAAGAAGAGCAACAGAATAAAATTTTTTGTAACTTAACCCAATGAGTGAGTTCTACTGTTTTCAGAAGACGAAGAGGGCACGCCATGTGGTCCTTGAGGGCCCCTTGGTACCCACGGGCACCGCGTTGGTGACCCCTGCACTAGACCAACACGTGACTTAAAATCGACCCTTGCTTCATTGAGGAAAAAGCGTTTTTCTATGAACCCCACTGTAAAAATAGAAGTAATCCCACTAAGTATATTTTCAAGGCAATACAAGCTAAGGCAGAGCAAAAACCAGGTCTTCCTTTTTTTTTTTTTTTTTTATTCTGCTAACAGATTTACTACTTGCTTAAATCAAATCAGCCTGGAGAGACTCACAAACAGAAAGTTGTGATAAGAAAAGTATTTAATTTATTAATACAGGTAACACAATCATACTCTTCAAAAAATTTCAAAGGAAAACCAGCTGATTGTGAGGGTTGATTCTCTGTAATCCCTTGCACTGAGCATGCATGTAGCGACAGTGGAGAGGAAAACCCCCTTTTAACAGGAAGAAACCTCCAGCAGGACCAGGATCATTGTGAGCGGCTATCTGCCGAGGCCGACTGGGGTTCAAGGAGACAGAAGCAGATTTAGACTTAAACAAAATAAGTTCACTGGCGCTTGGGTCCCGGCAGAAGACCTCAATGCTGTGGATCAACATGCGCTCGGATGAGTGGCCTAGAAAAGGATCAGTCTTCCACTGGGGCCCAGACACTGGTGGTGGAATAAGCCAGAGGGTACTTTGGTCTGAGAATGAGGGAGGAGATGGGGTGGAGGTTGGTGAGTTTGCTTCCGTGCGGGAGAGAGAAGCTGGGCCAGGAGCGAAAAGAAAGGAATCTTGCAGGATGATTGGCTTTGGAGAAGGTGTAGCCCCTGAGTTGATTGGCTGGAGCTGAATGAGGGACATTTGCAGGTGGTTCATATGAAGATGATAAGAGTCTTCCAGATTGACTTTACGCTTAAGCTTCATTTAATTTAAATACAGAAACAAACCTTATTTCTATCTGCTGCTACAAACTCAAGAACAAAACTTTACGTCAGAACCGCAGCAATATTTACAGTGTTTTCACCACAAACAGGAAGTCAAAAGGAAAAAAGAAACACACATTTAATGACTTTATTAAACTTTAAAATGTACAGATATAAACAGTGCAAGTAAAATCATCCTGATATCTGTGAAAAAAATAGTGAGACCCTAACATATTAAAATAAAGTTCTTGATTTTATGGTTTGGTCATAGTTTCATCATATAGAAAAACTTATCAAGATTGGAAAACCCTCCAAATATTTAAAAATATAGAACCAAATGTACAGAATGCATATTGGTTTGGATAAGTGTTTCACAAAACATCAATTAACACCTACATCCACATCATAGAAACATAGATAGAAAGTTAATTACTGTTTTTCATAAAAATAGAATCTAAATATTCAAAAACCCTCCAATTGTTTAAATCTGAGTAAGCCAAGCAAATAAACCTCACCTTGTCACAAATTATTTAATCAAAGGTCCACTGAATATTAGATGTTTCCTGCATTAGCATGCTAACTCTGGGTTCTACAGTAGCATGCTAACAGTTAGCAGTTTCACTCCTCTGAACAAAAGCGGTTTATAAAACCAAAGTGTTGGAAACATACAAGGCAAACATTTGATCTCTTTGCTTAGTAATGACACTCTGGAAACAAAAAAAATAAATAATTCAACATCTTCAAACGAAACAAAAGATAAGCTGCTAATATGGCTCAGTGTGTGTGGTTAAGCTAATTAGCTATTTAATGAAAGTTAGCCTGAACAATTTCACAAAGGTACTGATTTAAGAGACTCAGAAAAGAGTCATTGTGTGGTTAAATAACTAATCATAGAAAAATCTCTTGTCTGAACCATTAAAAACATTTTACTCTTTCTTAAAGTTACTGTTCAGATCCAATCCAGCGGGGAAAACTAAAAATCTAGATTTGCAATTCTCCGTCACTTGCTGGGATTAGCAATAGTAACCCTTATATAAATGCAATATAATCAGTTTTTTTTTATAACTACTCTGCTTTATGGAGGATTTATCTTTGACATTAAATGAGGTCCATAGTCACATCTAATTACTAGACTATAGACAAATCATTGCAGAAGTCACAGTAGTTGCAGTCTTTAGGGGCTGATAGTTGTAGGGTAATTTCTGAGAGGATATTTTTTCCATTTTAAGGTGCAAAGCAAATGTTTAAGATTAAAAGCAGAAGTTCAAATAAATAGTAAGACACAAACGTAATGTTCCCAGCAGAAATAAGACCACAGAGATGGGATGCTCTCAATGTTAAGGCTTTGAGGGAGCCCTCAGATTAAGTATGAATAATCTGTAATAATGTGTCGTTGTGATTGATTTGGGAAAATTGAAGGAATTCAGCATAAAAACATTTGATAAAAACTCTCAAATGGAGACTAGTTCTTCTGCTCCTCTAAGATGAGGTCAGAGAGCACGTTGATGTCTCTCTCTGCCGCATGGCACTGCAGCACCAATGTCACCATGTTGTCATGTCCCGGGAAGACGCTCAACAGCTGCTCCCTCAGCTGAGCTGTCTCTGCGGGGTTCCTGTCCGGATTGACCGGCTGTCTGTGAGCGGCCGCCCCGGGCTGCCTGTGTTGGGGATCCGCCTCCCATCTTTTCCCTCTGCCTCGGCCGCCGACGCTCGGCGCATCCAGGGCGCTTCCTGGTTTCCGGTCGCGAAAGTTTAAGGGTTCGGTTTGGGAACGTGGTGGTTTAGAGGAAGGAAAGGTGCTGGCCACACCGGCGAAAGAGTGATTCCCCGGATCAGGTGTCCTGAAGGGAAACAACAAAACATAAATAACCATATAGCCTGATTAGTATGTCCAGTAATCTACAGATCTAACACATTTGCTTTGTCATTTTTTCTCAAAATAAGTGCATTTGTTCTTGGATTAAGGAGATAAAAGAGACATTTTGCCGCTTTACACTTAAAATTAGAAAAAGAAAACAATTGCATTGTCTTATTTCAAGTGCATATTATCCAAGTATCTTATTTTAAGTGTGAAAATACTTATTCCATTGGCAAACTATCTCATTTACCTACTCAAATTAAGGGTAAATACACTTAATTTAAGAAATTTTTACTTATTTCTAGATTGTTTTCCAGTGTGATAATAGGATGATACTTCATTAAAAGAAAATAATTAACAGTTAGCATCTAGTGTCTGTGTGGCATTACAGTTTTTTTCAATTAAAACAATGTGAAAATATGGGGTTGTCTTATAATCGGGGTCTAACAGGTCGATAGAGGCTAACAGGTGTCTGGGGTAGATACACGAACACAACAGCAGAGGGCGCCAGTTTTATGTAAAGCCAGTGACCTCACTGTGGCTGGGGTTATTTTTTAAATCATAACAGAAGAGAAGTGACAAAGATCCTACAGATGGAGATCGGCTGCCCAGAACGGAGAGGATCAAAAGTCAGACAAGTTTGCAGACATTTTAGTCTTTAGTATACAGTAGCTTAGGGGCCTCCGACCTCCTAGGGCCCCCATCACTGACACCTGGTAGGCCCTCTGCGCAAGCGTGGACTAGGACGTCTCTTTGCAGATGTAATGGTGCGAAAAAGTCCTCCTAAACCCACCTGATGCTACATTGACTGACTGGACCCTATTTATATCCCAACACATGGCAGATTTCAACATGATGGTGAGCCGTTTAAACACGACACCAATAGCAAAGCAGACAGTGGTACTTTTAATTACTATGTAATTAACTGTGTATAGTTCATTAGACAGTTGGTTAAAAATACACTCATAATATGTTTCAAACCGCAATAATGATCTTAAAAGAATGATGTATTTGAGTATTTTTTTTTTTTTTTACAATACAACTTGGAATTATGGGTAATCCAGAGCGTAGATTAAATTCATAAACGTTACGTACAATGTGTTAGCGAGGACAGATACCAAAAAGAGGCACTTGAGTGGATCCCAGAAAAGAAAAAGCAAAGAAGAGCTGCTGGAAAAAAGGAAAAAACTTCCCATGGGGATGGGGTGTTGTACTTCATATGGGGTCCACCTAGAAAATGTTGCTTATTGTTGTGTCGTTGCAATATTGGTGTCATTACTGTGTTTTTCTTACTTTTTATTGTTTAATTGCACAAATCTTTCAATGCAATATAATTTCAATAAAACTGTTGGCGCTTCAATATAAAATAGTTTCTTAAAATAGTTTTTTTTTTCTCTTTTTGGTCTTTTGGTTTGTTTGGTCGTGGAAAGAGGGTGTCGTCTTATAATCAGGGTCGTCCTATATTCGGGTCATTACGGTAATATATTTACTGTGCAACACAAGAGGTTAGCATATCCAGCGCCTTGCAAAGGTACAGATAACCCCGAAAGGTTTTTATAAATGTATTTTATGTTGCCGGCAAAGCTAAAATAGGACAAAAATGGGAAGTGGAAGATAAAAACAGCATCTTGTTAAATGAACAGGGTGCTGGGTGTTAAAACATTTGATAAAAGTAGGGTGTTAAATTAACATTTGATTATGAAATTTCCTTTTTATCGTTGAAAAGATGAGTCAGGTGTAAAGATTGAGCAGTTTAAAGCAGGTTTGGATTTTTTGAAACAAAAATAAATTCTGAGCTTTTCAGCAGATCTGTAAATAAACAAAGAAACACCGGTCCTTCTAATCGGATCTGGCAGAGAACCAGCCAAGAGCCCCAATGGAGGACCTACAGAGAAACACGGCTTAGTTCACCTGTGAAAAAACGATGGTATCTGGAAGCAGGCTTATGTTGAGCATAAAAAAAGGTGTAAATAATTCTTTTATCATCCAACATCTGTTTGGGTGATAATACCATGTTGTCCGGACATAAAAAAAATCTTTCCTTCCACTTAAAAATGAGGCAATACTTGGTCTAGAATGTAAATAAAACCCACATCAAAGACAAAAAAGAAGTCATAAGTTGTTTTTTTTTATAATAAAATACACTTTCTCACTAAGATCTCTGTTACCTGTGTCCTAGACGTAAAAAATCATCGAGGTGAGGCCCTCCTCTGCCCAGGGGGTCGTCCGGGACCATGAAGAGATCCCCGACAAATGTGTACTGGAGAAGCCTAAAAAGAGCAACAAGAGATCAGTTAGAGAACAGCTGCAGCTCATGGGCGGTTCTAGACAGGGGCCAACAGGGGCCAGTGCCCCTTTAGAACAGCACCTGGCCCCTGTTATAACTCCTGTACTGGAGACACAATGCAAATTTTATTTTTCATAATATTCAGTGTATTTTCCCTTTTTTTGATCAGGTAAGTAAGACGATCTTCCAATAGAATAATAATATTTAGGTTTAGAAAAAGAAAAAAAAAAAATCTTATTCCAAGAGGATAATTTCTAACTGTCTTATAATAAGGGCAGAATCCTTTGGTAGGTCATCTTATTTGCTTGCCTAAACTATGGGCTAATACAGTTATTTTAAGAAAATCCTATTTTTAGTTTAGAAGTTTTTACAATGTACACTGCAAAACAGATGTAGAATTATGTAAAATTGTCTTAAATTCAGTGTATTTACCCTTGATTTGAGTGGGTAATTGAGATGATTTTCCAATGGAATTCGTTTTTTTACCCTTAAAATAAGAAAATTAGATAATACCCACTTGAAATAAGACAATGCAATTGTTTTTTTTCTTATTTTAAATGTAAATGTCATTTTCCATTGGCAAAGTGTCTCAATTACCTCCTCAATTCAAGAAAAAATGTACTTATTTGAAGAAAAGATAAATCAATAAGATTTAAATTTTTTGCTGTGTAAGTAAATGAATAAAACTAACATCGTAAAACTAAATAAATTTCTTATGATGATCTACACTGATAGAAGGGACCGCAACTAGACATTACAGTCATCTTTAAGCTCCAGCCATTAAAGTAGGATAACAGTTTTTTTCTGCTACATCAGTGTGAAACCTTGGCTTTGTGGCTCACTTAATATTTACTTTGCCACATTTGTTTTTTTGTTTTTATTTATCTGCCCTATTAAACAAACAAACAAAAAAAAAAGATGACACTGGCCCCACCCGGGCCCCCCTGGTATTTTTCATCTAGAAACACCACTGCTGCTGCTCCAGATATTTTATCTTTTAGCAATTAACCAACATTATATTAGGGATTCTTTCACAGTTCTTAAAGGTAAAAATCCAAATCTAAACAGAGAAAGGCCTCCACTGCATCCCTGAGGCGATCTTTTACCTCTTTTTGATGATGTCTCTCCATACAGGCGTCTCATCGCAGAGGTCTCTCAGGTTGTCATTGGTGACTATCACTCCGTCGTTTCTTTGTGCTAGCTGCAGGATTAATCTGTGCGGAAAAAGGTAAAGAAAAATCCGGTTTTAAACCATAACCTAACATGCCATTAAAAGATCAGAAGATTCCTTCATGGAACAGACCTAACAATCAGAACAGTAAAGCTTCATGGAAGTTGCGAACGTACCCAGACGCTCCAGTGTTTTCGCACAGATTTCATACAACAGATAAAAACAAAGTGGAGAATAATCATAAAGCAAAAAAAAAAGGAAATTTTAATTCCTTCTTTAACGATAAAAGTCTGAGTCAACATTTAGTAGAGCCAGCTGCAGGACTTCTTTGGTATACCTCTCTGAGCTTTACACTCATACAGGCCAACATTTCTTGCACAATCGTTCTTTGCTGAACATTTTAAAGGGGAGCAGTAATATAAACATTAATAAATAATAATAATTGAACTTCATTGATCTCACATTTACCTCTGCATGTAACCAATCCCCTTGAGGAGCAGTGGGCTGCCATCGTTTACACATTTCTCAATCCGACTGCATACAAAGGCTTTCAGATTGAACGACGGCTTCCTGTTGGCTCATTCTATTTAATTTATGTGTTTTTGCTTATTAGAAAACGTTGCCTTTTTGTATATTTACCTTAACAAGACCACAAGGTAATAGAGCCAAACTCCTCCCAGTGGCAGCATGAAAAGGGAGAAAAAAGTCTGAAGCCATGTGATAACAAGAGGGATTGGACCCCAGTAGCACTCTGTTTAGGATAATTATTACCGGTATTTATCTTTTAATATTTAATAATATCTGTCTGTTGAGTGTCAGCTAATTAGTACAGTTCCTGTGTCCGGCTATACAGTTATCATCTTCATTCTGCACATGGCAAAGGTTTGGGAATGGAATGAGAGCGACGTCCTTCAGCTAAGAACAAAGTGAAATATTTTGATAAGGCTGGAGTCATGGCTGTCTCCTCGTTTACAGACGTGTAGGATGTAATAATGTGATGATGTGGCAGACTGGAGTTGTATAAAATGTTCCTCTAACTGTGAATCGTGGCCACTTAACGAGATGTGAGCCCAGTTGGTAAGCAGCTGCCTTCTGTAACCCTAAGCATCTTCTCTGAACGGAGTAAGATCATTATTTCTGCTAAAATCTGTTGCCATATATCCTGGTTATTTAATACATTATGGAGTGTTATTTAAAGGGTTTGTCCTGAGCGATTTCTTTGCAGGAAAAGAACTGGAGAGAGAAATCTTTTCACACAAAAAAAAACACAGAGAATTCCTTTACAGCTCATAATATAATAAACAAATATGAATGTGTTAGGAAGGAAGATAGTGCTAAAGCCTCGGATGCTGGCAGGTGAACAGCTAGCTGATTAAACACTACCAGCAGATGTTTATGTCTGCTGATTGGGATCAGTGGAAAATTCTTTTTTAAGTCCAAAAGGGACTAATATTTGGCGCACAATGCTTTATTTTAACATTAACTCAGGAGTTTTGGTGTTTTTGGTTTAGGGATAGTACATGAA